ACGGCCGACAAATGGTCATCCAAAGTCAGCCGTGAATCCAGGAGGACTCCCAAGTTGCGCGCCCTCTCTGAGGGGGCCAAAGACTCGCCCCCTATAGTCAGCGATGGCGTCAGCTGACCATACCGAGACGCCGGCAACCACAGCCACTCGGTCTTGGAAGGGTTGAGCCTGAGTCTGTTCCTCCCCATCCAGACCCGTAGAGATATCCTGTAGCCTAATTCTTCTGTGCTAAGTACTCAAATTACATTTAAGCTGTTTCTTTTGCTTTCATTTTCAATTTGACCAGGTTATATAAAATCCCATTTGATATGCCAGATTGTATCGAAGGATCAACTGCTAAAAGAGTACTGCATCTCATGGGAGACTTTTCTGCACCAGCTGAATTCTTCGTGACCTTGGGTGTTTTTACTTTTCTATATACTATGGCAGCTCTTGCAGTATATCTACGATTTCACTCCCTCTATAAGGAGAATAAAAAGCTACCTTTTGCGGTAAGATCTCAAGTTTGGTTTTCAGCTCTTTAGATTTCAAGTCCTGCATCATAGAACCAGTTCTATACAAACACAAAGTAAACTCCTGTTGAAAGAAAAATCTTCATCAGGGTCCAGTCCAAGCTGGGAATAAACAAAATGGAGATTGCTTTAGAAAGAAGGTTGGAGTTTATTGAAGAGCAAAGCCAGAGAGAAGTGTGGCTCTGGGAAAGCTGACCACATGTTGCTGGGAGTGGTGGTTTTTTATACCTTCTGGGGCTCTTGAGGTTGTTTCCTATTCCTGTTTGAGGCTTTGTATTTCCTGTGCCATGTACTTTGACCTGAGTCTGAGTGTGACCTTTTGGTATTGGTGGGTACTTAATCCTATTATGTCTTCAAAGGCCATGTCTTTTAGAGTTTGGGTGGGGTATATAGATTTTAAAGGTCTTTGTCTTCCTAATCTCATCAACTTCTAGCTTCCTAGCTCCAACCTTCCTGAATGGATTATTACATCTGCATTTCTAAAAGCAGGTTTCTGCTGAGATTTTTGGCTGGGGGAGGAGGGAGAAGTTTCTGCCTTTTTTTAAGATCCTCTCCATTATTCCTTTAGAGAAATACATTCTGCCTTTTTAATATTCCCCAAATATTTCTTTCTATGGATTCTTCCCACACTTCATTAAAAACTTGATCATTTCTGAATATGAAATCTGAGAAAAAGTGTACAAGGCTCCACTTGTATATTTACAAGTAGTCCTTGTTTAACCAGGGTTCAAATTAACATTGGCCTCATTGCAAAACATCACACACACACATACACAAAATCCTATAATTGCAGTCTGATTGCTTGGCAACCTGTTCACATTTACAACCAGTTGCCAAGTGCTATGCAATAATGTGATCACCATTTGCAATCTTCAATGGGGAAGAAGCAGGAAAGGTTGCAAGATGCTGCCGCCTGCCAAAAGAACTCCCTCTCTCCTCTGGGAGCTAGCTGAAAGAGCCTGCATGCATGGAGCTGAAATCCTTCATGCCTGCTTGCATGGAGCTGAAATCCTTTAGCAGGGAGCTCTTTCAGCTAGCCCTCAAAGACAAGAGGGAGCCAAAATCCAAGCAGGATTTCAGGTCCTGAGTGGAGAGGAAGCACCATAAGGCAAGGGGCGTGGGTGCCTCAGGAAGGTAGAGGAAAGGGTATAGGAGGCTCAGTGCTGTCTGCATATGAGTATATCTCTGCTCAGAGGCTGAAAATCCTGCTTGGATTTCAATAGGGAGGATTTCAGCTCCTGAGTGGAGACACATTTGTGCAGAGCCTACAATGAATCTCCCAGGGTCTCCCCCAGCCCCAAGGTAACCCATACTCCTTAACCAGGACTTTGTCCACTTAATAACCACAAGATTGCTTAATTACCGCAACTGGGAGTGCCAAAGTTGTTGAATGAAGCAGTCCTTTTATTTATTTATTTGTTAAAGCGTTTGCCGCCTATCTTGCCACGGGGCTACTTGAGGCAGCTTACAATAATAAAAAGGGAGAAAAGGAAAGGAATGCAGAGGGAATAGATGTAAAATAGTAGAACAATGAAATAAATAATGACAACGGAACACAACAAGAATAAAACATTAATATGATAAAGATGGATGGGTGGAAAACAGAGAGCAAGGGGGAGGGAGGTAGGAGTTTGCCATCAATCTAGCAGTCACTTCCAGTGTCGAACTCTCCCATTTGGTCCCCAGACAAAACCAGGTCTTCTGGTCATGGGATGACTTGTTTAACAACTGCTTCACTCAATGTCTGAGATTCCAGTCCCAATTGTGGTTGCTAAGTGAGGACTACCTGAATCCAGTTGGGCAGTCCTGCCCTCTCTGTTTTGTATTTTTCTTGACCTTGGAGCAGTAGCACAAGAAGAATCAACCTATGCAACAGTATTATCACCTGATTCATGCGAGGTTCTTAGCCTGGATTTGCTTATCCATGATTTGTTGAATAAGCCACAGTTGGTTTATAAACCAATAGCGGCTGAGGCAGCAGCAAACAAACTATATTATGACTAGGTGCAGTATGTGTACCTTGCCTACCATGGAGAGGAGTGGACATTGTTAGCCTACAAATAATGTGACATAAAAAGCTGCCTGATTAAAATAAATGGTCTGCCCCCAATTTGGGCATGAATATTTTGGATGAAAGGATGTAGCAGAATGGAGCTATTGTCATGAAGTATACCAACCACGATTCACTCTCTCTCTCTGTCTTTTTCCCCTTCATTCAGGACTTCTGTGTGTCTGTCTCATTTACCTTCTTTTGGCTAGTGGCATTTTCAGCTTGGGGCAAAGGTCTATCAGACGTGAAAGGAGCAACACGGCCTTCCAGCCTTATTGCAGCCATGTCAGTGTGTCAGTTCAAAAACGCCGTGTGCAATGCTGGGGCCACTCCTTCTATGGGTTTGGCCAACATCTCTGTGGTAAGAGTTGCCTGGAAGTAATGTTGCAGTGATTGGGTGGGAGAGGATGGGGACTTTAGCTGCATCATGGTCAATATGGTACCATTCCATTTCTTTCACTAAATCAAAACCAATCTGACCGCCTACAGGGGTAGTGTATAAAGACTTATTCTGCAGTGTCTATGAAATTATGTCATGAATGAGGGTGAGCAAACACTGTTCTGTTTATAAACAGAAACTTCCCTTTCAATTTGCTCAACAAGCAGCTGCTAATAAAGAGAAAGGCAAATCACAGTGATTAAAGAATAAAGAACAGCATAAGCATACAAATGTGAGAACATATATCTAAAATATTAGAGTTTAAAACATGGTCTTTTAACTTTTAAAAGGAAATACTGGAAAACAGTAGTGTGTTTAAAATAAAACTCAGGCAATAGAAATTACTTGTAGAACCTTAGCCATCAATATGAACATGCCCAATAAAAACAGTAAAAATGTTACTTGGGAGAGGTATGTTTTTAACATCCTTCCGAATATATTTACCGTATTCCTTGGGAAGGATTTAAGATTCACTACTACCTTCCTGAAGTTGAAACTCAAATACTTTGGCTACCTAATGAGAAGGAAGGACTCACTGGAGAAGAGCCTAATGCTGGGAAAGATTGAGGGCAATAGAAGAATGGGACGACAGAGAATGAGGCGGCTGGATGGAGTCACTGAAGCAGTAGGCGTGAGCTTAAATGGACTCCAGAAGATGGTAGAGGACAGGAAGACCTGGAGGAACGTTGTCCATGGGGTCATGATGGGTCAGACACGACTTCGCAACTAACAACAACAACTACCCTCCAAGGCAGGAGAAAAAGAGAGGTCTGTTTCCCTGCTTATTGTAAGGTTCACATGGAAGCATACCCTGACCCCAAACTGGGTGGGGTTTATGTTCTGCCGAATACAATCAGTATTATTGAAATTGAGGAGTATTAGCAGTTCCTCTTACTTGAGCATTATCTTCTACTGATTTGATTGTTCAGTAGATAAAGAGCAGACAAATACATAATATCCAGTCAAGGTAGTATAATTTTGTAATGGGTGTGCCAATTTCAAAATTATGTTCCTCTGTGACTTTGGATCTCACAAACATAAGTACGAGAAAGTAATGCTACTGCACGTGAACATGTGTAAACCAGCAGAAGACTGTTGTTTTTCTGTTCTTTAATCATTGTGAAAAACTGAACGAGAGGGCATTAAAAAGTACCGAACTGACTTTATATAAGTGCTCAGTGTTCACCAATAACTAACTGCTTTGTATTAACTATGCACTTCTCCTTTTCTTTCTCAGCTGTTTGGTTTTGTCAACTTTATACTCTGGGCTGGAAATTGCTGGTTTGTTTTTAAGGAAACCCCGTGGCATGCACAGACCACCAACAAGGAAAGTTCTGCTGAACAAGGGGCTGTTGATAAGCAGTAAGGAAACCCCACCCCATTGAAGCCTTCTTCCCCCCCCCCACCCTTCCCAAATCAAGAACATGCATCCCATTGTGCCTCCGTGCAGAAAATATGTCTCCTCTGCCATTTTTGCTACTGTTCAGCAGTCATATTGGCTCCCTTTGTGACTGAAATGGGAGGCCTCTCTCCAGCTGCAATCGTTGGTTCTCTTGTGGTCATAGATACACAGACTGTTCATAGTTACAACAAAACCCTTCTTTATTTGGATTTTTTATAAGCATACGCTACTGTACATTTTCACATTAGTCACCTATCTTAGGACGTATGGCACTATGTCTTTACTGATGACTTTTATCATATATATTTTTTAAAAAAATGAAGCCAGTAGAGTTGAATATGAACATAGAGAAAACCAAATAATTAGAACCACAGAACGTGGAATATCTAAGTGCCTTAAGGAGAAAATATGTCTACTTTGTAGCTATAATGTGGTAGATGTAGAAACAGTAACCTGCCACTTAGCTGAGCAGCAAAATAAAATAAAAACAATTTTTTTTTTACCTTTTACATTTGAAGGCAGGAAGAAGTGTGTTACACTTCTCATTTTGTATTACAGAATATACATATTCTAAACATATTTTTGCTTTCATTAAATATAATTGATTACAACTTAAGATACTGTTTGCACACAGGTGTCTTGTTCAGACTTGCGTGGCAAATATGGGAAAGGGTGTCCTCATTGTTCATTTTGAGCCACAAAGGATAATCCTTGCCAATGTGAGCTGGTTTTGCTATCCCTAGATTGCACACAAATATTGACATCCAGAAATAGCTTTCATTGGAATAGTTTCAGCGCTCTAGAATTTGACATCTGTTTCAAAATCTTCTTGAAATTTTATTTTATTTTAAAACATTTCACCATATGAACTTTTTTGAGAATGCAAACTAATTCCATTCACCTGAACTTAAGACAGGCCAAGCTTGGCTGAGAAACATGCAGAGTGCAGATGGATTTTTTTAATATATAACTTATGATATTGTTCAGAATCTTTGTGTCTCATAACTTAGCAATGGCCTTTAAATCCTCTGTAATGGAAGTTATTAATGCTTCATTTTTGGAATTGACTATCAGTCGACTAATGTATACTAATTCATATCTCAATTTTAACTCCCATTTGGTCGCAATTAGCAACATCCTTCTGCTGGCTTATGTCTATGGAGATTTTCAGTCATCCAGATCATGGCTGTCCCAAAGGTGCTTTTTCAAGAGGCAACTGGACTTTCTTGTTTTTCTTTGAAGACATTTTGCTTCTCATCCAAGAAGCTTCATCTTCATCTTCAAAAAAAACCAAGAAAGTCCAGTTGCCTCTTGAAAAAGCATCTTTGGGACATTTGATGGTGACATGAGCCACCCTAATCATCCAAGTTGCTACGAGAAATTCTTAAGGAAGTGTTTAGCATCTCTGGATGTTTCTTAGGTAGAGAACAAGACTGCCAGAAATTAAGAGTAGCATAATAAATCAACCTTTTCCTTTCCTCCATCTTTTTGATTAGAAACAACTTGCTTTTGAGAATATCAACTATTCTCAAGCTATTTCCACCGCTCAATCCTTAAATCTCTTTTGCCATAGACGTACACTTAAATGGGGGGAGGGAATAACTTTTAGGAAGGTGCGGGATGCCAGAGTATGGAAGGATGAGTATTTTCTCTGTTGAATTAAGTCTATTATATCCGATTTTGTTTGGTCTTGGACTTTCCCTTATTTCCACATCTTCTTTTATCAGCAAATGGAGAAGAAATCTTAATATTACTAATACTGGTGCTTTGTTAGGTGTGGGACCTTCATATTAAGCAGGTGTCCTTTGTATTTTTTGTAAACTTCATTTTGTTCCTGAATTTTTATTACTGATATTTCTTCACCACAATAATAGTTTTTAGGAAACCCTGTGGCATTTGGGCATTGAAACTACAATATGTAGTCTCCTACTGGCCCTGCAGTGTCCTTTTTTTTTTTTTAAAGAAGAAAAGGGTTACTATAAACAAAAAGAAAACTGATTGACTATCTTTTTAGAATGAGTTTCTCTGGTAGTCAATCATTATGTGTGCTTCTATCAACAGATTAGTCCATATTTAGACTAATAGCTTCTAGCTAATAGTGTGTTTACATAATCACTCATTTCAAGGAGTTCTATATTTTTTTTCTGAAACACTGAACCTACAAATGTAGTTAGATATGTGTGTCTTTCATCTTGTTTATATCTTTGATTCTTTCTTCTGAATCTTACAGATTACTTACTACCTTTGCAAAGATTTGTCCAAGGTCCTCAATTAATAAAAATCAATGTCACGCTACTAAGTGTTACCATTTTATACCAATTGATCTGACATTTGTGCAAATATTGAACAATACTTCGTAAATTGATGCTGTAAGCAGGAACAAGTATGGTGCATGCTGCCCATTTGGCAGTAAATATTCTTTAAAAGTATATGATAATTGCATGCCATTGGTCATGCAAATTCTGCAAGCCACTTTCTGACTTAAAATATGGTTTCTTCTGTATTTGAAATAAATACAGTTGTGTTACATTTGGCATTTCTTCTATACCCAACACAGAAGAGAGCTGTATAACAGTTGACCAGGCAGCAGGTGCGGATACACCCATTACATTGAATCCAAAGTCATTCTAGATGACTGACTCACTGTTTTTAGGCTGTATCTTGGGCATGACACATGCTAGGAAAAATGAAGGGCCACTGCTTTTGCTGCCTTTGGATTTTTAAAAGTTGAAGCATAGCATTTCTACAAATTCAATCTAGCAAATGGTGGTTAATGATGTGTAACTAAGATGCTCATGATGTCTATCTTCTCTGTCCTGGAAAAATAAACATTTCTATTGAAAGTGGAGCAACCAATAGCTTATTATTGAATTTTGGGCATCAATTCTGCCTACTTTCTCAGGCATTTTACTCTTCTAATGACAGGAAATTTCATATTTTTACCCCTCCTAGTGATTGTTAGTATTGTTCTTATAAAATATTTTGAGAGTTCACTTTGAAGGACTATAGCCTTTATGTATGCTTACAGTTTTGCTTTGATCTATGTCCAATCTAGTTCCTAAGTATAATTGCCTTAAAGACTACTGTATGTTACTAAACTGGCTATTTTCTAGGGATTAATTGACATAAACATTGTTTTGGTGTAGCATATGCCAAGCTTTACAAATATTCACATACACATAATTGTCAGTATGTGGTTTCTTCTGACTTTTAAACTTATAATATATGATGCAAACAACAAAAAATGTTTTGTCAAAAAATTGCAAGTGATTTTGTAGCCAAACTATTGCCTATGTTATATATTTTCTCTGTTATGTTGTGGTTACAAAGTGGAAAGGATGAAAAAGATTCCCAATGTGATCTGTACTCATTGTGTGCATTTAGTGTGATTGGTTGAGATGCCTAACTGAATAGTAATTATTCTATGTAGAATACATGTATGCTCCATAAATAGTCAAATACTTGTAAAGCATCTAGTTGAAATTTTGGTACAATGCCAAAATATTCAGAACAAGAGCATCTATTTAGGTTGCCCAATTTCTAATCACCTATCCTCTAAGTCAGGCATGTCAAACTCGTGACGTCACGTGATGTCGTGCGACGTATCGGAGCTTTTTCTCCATTGCCGGCAATGGGGTGGGCACGGTTTTGGGATGATGCGTCCGGTCCGCAGGCCGGCAGTTTGACACCCCTGCTCTAAGTCATTTGTTTCATTTTTACCTAGTTTAATAGAACAATTTGTTTCTAATGTGCAACTAAAAATATACCTTTTTTATGGCAACCGTGTCAAATATTTGCTGCCTTCTTAGTGATAATCTCTGAAATATTAGAAGAGTGCTATCAAATTCTTGTTGTATTCTTCTCTTCAAATTAAACATATTTCACACCATGTCCAGAACATTTGAGGAACTTAAAACATGGCTATGTGTTTTATCTGAAAGATAGGATTATTTATTCCAACATAAAAATGGATAAAAATAACAAATCCAGTCTAAATATCTGGCTGACCTTATGGCAACCGTAATAATAATAAACCAGTGATTGAATAGGCTAGCAGTTGATTGCAGTCTGCCCTCTTTTCTCTAGTTTATAATGAAGCCTTTTCTTGCTCTCTTTACCACTACTCACTGTATTAATCTATCCAAAGCATATATATAAAAGGCATTGAAAAAAGAACTGTATTGAGATGTACTTGGGACGCTTTTCCATTCTGATCTTAAAACAATGTTTTGTGAGGAAATAGAAAGAGAAGGCCAAGATCATCCATGGAATTTCATGAGTGTTGGGGGCTTTGACCTTTCATTCTGCAAGATTCCTCAACAAAATAAAATAACATAAAATATTGGAAAGCAAAAAATTGTATTGATTTTTTAAAACATAGGCATAAATCCCTTTTTACCTTGTTGAAAACAGTGTGGAAAAGGGAGGATAGGGATGTGGAAAGTTGGAGATTAATAACCTCAAACATATTCAGGTAAGTGAAGAAAAGTCGTATTTTGCATTTTAAAAAAATGCTAAAAATGACGTGCTCTTTATTTATTTAAAATTGAAACATACATAGATGCTGCTGAAGATGCCACTTTCCATTATTTGTAACAAGGCATGTCATGCCTATTGTCAGACACACTGCCATACGATACATTATCTACTTCCTGGTGTTTTCATGGAAGTCTGAAAAATTTCCCCACCCAGACTGATTCTGATTTGGTGAAGTCAAGGGAAGCAACTGTTGGATCAACTGAGGACACAAGAGCCACTGCTGGCACTGTGATGAGAGAGGTGTTCTGATACTTACTGTATTAAGTCAGCTCTATTCCCATTTAAGAGCCAAGATTAAGATTGTATTGACGTCACAGTCCACAGTTGCATCCATAATTGAACTGGATCTTAAGTTCGGCCTCCCTAATCAAATGTCTACATTCAGTTTGATAAACTATATTCCTCGCTCAAAAGACAACTGGTCAGCTAACTGAATTAGC